TTTGATGAGTTTGATAATATATACCAATTAGATTCCCATCTACAGTATATAATTCCATATTAGCATCATTATCTTCCTTAACTTTATCTATCATTATAATTATTATCATAAGTTTTTTTTGTATTTTTGTCTATATTATGCAAATCACTTAGGGTTATAAACTTTCCTTCAGAAAATAGTTTATTTTTTATTTTGGATTTATTTCCTCCTGTAGTTATAGCTTCAACTACAAATTTATACTGTGCTTCATTAAGCTTTCTTTGTCTGGATAATGATTGGTATAAATTTTCATCTAAAATTCGATAGTATTTTTATAATCAAAAAATGCATTTTTCATTTGTTTTAAAAACATTATTTCATACTTTTATCTTATATATATTCTATCAAAATTTAATAAATTAACCCTATAAGCCTATCCATATCACTAAGTTAAATTATATATTTATCTTAATAATTTCAAGATTATGTGCCTTTACCATAGGGATGATTGTGATTTTCATGCATATCCTAGACAAATAATTTGTTTTTCATGAATGTAATTTGCAAATGGAATTGACATCCTTGTTTTATAGACATGTAATTGCGTAGACCTGTGGATTTTGTATTGTACTTTCTACCAAATATACAAAGAAATTTTATGCTTTTATATCTAAATTTTTCAAAAAGAGGTGATTTTAAAATTTTTGAATCTGATATATAAAGATTTATGTAATTTAAATTTTCATATTGCTTTATAGTATCTTGTAAATCTTTATAGGATAAAAATATATCTCCTTCTTTCATATTTAAAAGAAGAGTTTTTAAATCTATTAAAAAGGTTTATAAATTTGTCTATATCAACAATTTACCTTTGGTATGAACTATTTTTGAGTCAGTTAAATATTGGGAAATAAGTAAGGTATTGCTATGGTAGTACTTTTTGGTGACATTCTAAAATCTGATATATAAAGATTTATGTATTTTAAATTTTCATATTGCTTTATAGTTTACTAAATTTCGCTCACGATATTATTTATACATCCATTTTATTATAAATAAAAATTTTAAATAATTCGTTAAATTTCGTAACTTTTTTATCGATTCGGAAAATGCGTATAAATAAGAAAAAATATAACTTTTATTTCTTGCTAATACGCCATTTGGAGTAAGTCTATCATCTCCCAAAAAAAATACATATAAATATTCATTAAATATTATGTCCCGAATTTATTAATAAACCGAACAAATTTATATATTGCAATCCATCTCAAGGAATCAGCATGGAATTTGTTAAATTTTATTTTATTATATATATTTTAGATTTATATTGATGAAGTGGAAGAAGTAATAATCAATGAAGCATCAACAAGTTTAAACATTGTTTTCCCATGGCCAATTTATAGAGCATATTTTAAAATAAATAATATCTCAAAATAAAGAAAACAAATCTCTGATTGTAAAATGTTTGCCATATCTACCAAAAATACGAAATTTTAGTTGGATTACCTCAAATCGCAACATTGTAAAGCTTAGGAGTATAAATACTAAATAAATGTTGACAATTGTAATTTTAAATTTTAAGAGAAAACATCAAACTGAAAATTAAAAAAGGGAAGGAGAATAAATCTATTAAAGAAAATATTGAACTAGGATTATCGTCCTCTAATATTTTTGCCAAGAGACCTCAGACTTTAACCCAAACCACTTTAGATGATTTAATAAATGCTTTTATTATAGATAGCATTTAGCCATTTTCAATTGTTGAAGATTTTTTATTTATAAAAATAATCAAAACATTAGCTCCACAAAAATATAATTTGTCGACAGACAGTGGTTGGTAGAATTTTCAAAAGAGGGAAATAAAATGAAAGAAATCATAAATAGTCTAAAAGAACCATCGCTAATATGCACGACAGCAGAATGTTGGAATGCCTATCGCCTGTATAGCTAACATTTAAATATAATATTTAATTAATAACAAATTATTTGAGCAGTTTTAAGAAATGTTAATTTTTAGTTCATACATAGGAGTCACTACACACTATATAGATCCAACAAGTTTGGAAAAAAAAAATGTAGCGTTGGTTTGTAAAAGAATGATTGGTAGTAATACATATAATAAAATTACAAAGAATTTACAAGATATAGCAAAAGATTATTGCATTCAAAATAAAATCACAATGACCATTACTGATAATGCTAAATATTTTCTAAAATCTTTTATGTTTATTTTATTATAAATATAAACATAAACATATGTATGAGTACTTATTTATTATTGAGTTTTCAAGCCAATTGAAAATACTAGTGAATCCATGGATGATCTGGAAGATGAAGAAGAAGTTTTACCAATACCTATATCAAGTCTTTATACTACTGCTCAGGATTTTAAAATATCAGAATCTTATAGTTTACCTCATCATCAATGTTGTGCCAGTCACACATGTTGCCACTGTGGATGCCAATAGAGCCATGCAGTGTAAATAGTGGGTAAACATTTCAAAAAAAATTGAACTCGTTCACGTTCACTTTCAAAAAAAGGAACGAGTTCGCGTTCGTTCAAATATGTTAAATTTTTTTTTAAATTTTTTTTAAAATTTAATATAATATAAATAAATGTCTTATATTTTAAAAAAAATAATATAGTTTTATTTTGATAATATAATTATAAATACAATATAATATAGTGAATAAAAAGATATTTGTATTTATAAAAAATAATAATTTAATAACATTTGTTTTTCAAAATTTTCAACTGATAGACAAGAACGCTTGGCAGTTAATACGACATTAGCTATACTAAAAACGCTCTCTACATGGGAAAATGAGGGGATTACGGAATTATACTTAATAAACAACTCTTTTAACGAGGTGAAATTTATTAAAAACATTTATTTTGTCTTTGCTTCAAAAAATTGAGATAAGTCATCCTCCTCCAATCCTCTACTTTCTCGTTTTATATTAAATATTTTTATAAAAATATAAATTTGTAATAATTTCTAAATTATACCAACAATTTTCTATCTATGTATATAATATATAAAATTTAATATCTTTTACTTAAAATAAATTTAGCTGGCTATTTAGTTATATTAAATAAAATAATTAACATTACAATCAAATGTCTTTTTAAATTAATACTCAGGGTCTACGTGAGCGGTGTGGGTAGTAACAGTTTGCATCCAATTTTTTTAGGAATAAGGGATAAGCAGTTAAGGAGGTACACTAGGTGTAGAATGAATTTATTGGGGGGGGGGGGGGGTTTCTATTAAATATTTAGATGAAATAGGGCAAAATGCATTGCTGTAAAATTAATATTTTCATTATATCATAATACAATATTGCTAAACATTGACCAAATCTATATATTATACACAATAACAGACATAATTTAAAACAATTTCTGGATCCCTTTCTGCTATCCTATTTAAATATAATTTAGAAGGGTTAGAGATTCTATCATTAAACTCATATTTATGCCTAATAAAGGTTGTAATTAATAATGCGGAAATAGGGGTATATAAGTTTTTGAAGGAGGTTTGCATCCAGTGAATATCCTGTCATGTAGACGCTGTTGGTACTTGAAGATTTGAAACTGATATAATACTTTCGGATCACGTCAATACCGCGAAACTTTTTCCACAAAATGTATTATCGCGAATGCATTATCGCGAATGCATTATCGCGAATGCATCATAGAGAAAACAGTATGGCAAATGCATTATTGTGAAAACATTATCGTGAATGCATTACAACGAATATATTACCCCGAATGCATTATCGCGAATGCATCATAGGGAATGTATAAGAGCGAGAACATTACCGCGAAGTTATTATAGCGAATGCATAACAGCGAATGTATTATCGTGAATGCAATATCGCTAATTCATTATCGTTAATGTATTATCGCGAATATATTACAGCGAATGCAGTATCACGTATGAAATGATTTATATTATACAAATGGTTGATATAATTAATAGAAGTATTAAAATTCTTCACTTACTCTCTAATAAAGAGTTCATTATTAATATGTTTTTATTTTTTAAATATATCGGAAACCATATATTTGTTATATTTTGGAAGTTCCTGGCCGATAATATTTTTCTACCGGATCTCTATTTCTCTAAGGAAATTCTTTACTCTCTAATTATATTTTAACTCATTTAGCAAGTTCAGACCTTCTTCAAAAAACCAGAATACCAGCCTAATTATATTCGCGATAATGCATTTGCGATATTATAATCGCGATTGCATTCGCGATAACACTTTCGCGGTATTACATTAGCGCTAATGCATTCGCTATAATACATTTTAATTTTAGAAGGAAATTGTGCCAGAGGATAAGGGTGAATTCACAGTAGAGAGCGACAGCGACACGACAATCACCACACGACATTAGGCGACAGAGCAGCTGATTTGTCGTAAGCGACATAGCATTCATAGTAGTAGCGACAAGCATTTTTTTAATTTTATAAAAATATGGTTTCAATAACAACTTTATATATCTTCGCCCTAAGGATACTCAAGATCATAAACAAAATAATTATTTCTGGAATCCTCAATCCATAAAAAACCCCTCAAAAGTTTCTAAAGATATTAGAGATGTATTTTCAGAATATTTTTATAGAAATAAATTACCTTGGCAATTATAGCTTATATTTTATAAATATTATTATATTTTTTTATATTGATTTGTAATGATATAATAAAAAGAAAGTTTTATTTATTATATGTGTCTTAATATGATTAAAATAATATAAAACATAAATCTATACCCTAAGGATATACAAGATCATAAACAAAATAATTATTTATGTAATCCTCAATCTATAAAAAAAAACCTCAAAAGTTTCTAAAGATATTAGAGATGCCTTTTCTGAATATTTTTAGAGAAATAAAATTATCAAGTCTATTAGAGCTTAATAATATAATAAATTTCAAAATTATTACTCTATTTTTTTATATTGATTTGTAATAATTTAATAAAAAGAAAGTTTATTTATTATATATGTCATAAATATAATTAAAATAATATAAAAGCCTCCAATGAAATAATAACAATATATAATATTTTTCATTCTTCTTCATCAGTGTCAAAGTTGAAGAGAATATCAAAAATAATTTTAATAAGCTTCTTCTTTCCCCTTTCTGATCTTTTTGCCAGGGTCTGCTCAAGCATCACATTGATCCAAGAATTTGTTGATTTTCTGCTTTCTTTTATTCTTTCAATTTCAAGAACTTGAACAAATAAATCTAGTTTAAAATAATAATATATTTACAAATGCAAATTACCTTGATCAATATCTCTCTTTTTAATTAACTTTTTGCCAGGTACATAAGATTCACTAGTTGATGGTGATGCTAAATATATAATATTATTATTTATATAAAATATAATCACCATCATTCCTAACATCTGTAGATTGACTCTGACTAGTCTCTACACATTCAATTTCAACAGCTATATAATAATAAAAATTTTAACAAAAATTAGTATATTTACCATCTTTATATGGAAATTTCCACTCATCTGTTCAAACATTGCTCTAGCAATGTTTGCTTCACCAATATTATGTATAAGAGGTTTTATTTTTTTCAGGTTGATGTATTGTTTCCCAGATTCTATAGTGAGAATCAAAAAAGTTAAATTATTATAAAATTTCCAGGTGGGAATGTGATCAGCCCCTGACCCACTTTTTAAACATTTCAACTTTTTATGTTCCCTCAAAAAAGAATCTGTAGATTTAGCTATCTCTACTGTAAAAGAAAAATATTTTAAATTAATATAATCTTTAATTACCTGTCTCAATACTATTTTCTGCTGCTATGGATTTCCATATGGAATTATTTTTCTAAAAAATATATATATGATATTTTTATAATCAAAAATTTACTTGCAAATTTTGTATTTCGGCCATATTGTAGTTAATGTCGTATGGAAAAAAACAAAATGATTTGTAACTTGATTTTTAAGTTTAATGCGACAAATGTGGCGGGATTGTCGTGTCGCGTCGCAAAAGCTCACTATGAATAGTCATTGGTAATTACATATATTTGTATTTTGTCGTGTCGCTGTCGCTCTCTACTGTGAATTCACCCTAAAGGAAGGAGATGCCAGAAATTTTTTTTAGATATACCCTTTTTTGAAAAAGTTTTGTCAAAATGTATAGAATAGATAAAATAAGAGATTATAAAAAAAAATATTGGCCCTTATTTTATATGTCCTACCCGATGGAACTCGGTTAATGATGCATACTACCAAGTGAATGTATGGAAATATTCTAAATACCAACCTAATTTGCTAAATACCGACCAAAATTTATTAAAATTTAATAAGACCCTTATTATTTAATATATTAATACGGAATCACGTGGTCGAGTCCAGCCTCCTATATAATATCCCCCCAAGGATGGAGCCACCAAGTTAGAATAAGAAAAAAAACATGACCATTCCCGGGATTCGAACCCGGGACCATGGGATCAGTAAGCCAAGCTCTTGCCTACTAGGCCATAGAAGCTTCCCAAAAATCACGATTTTTCAAATATATATTATAAATATATTTGGTAGTGCCCATCCAAATGAAAAATGAACAAAATTCAAATTTGATAGGTAGTACCTTAAGGTAGTAAGCATCATTAACCATGGAACTCCACATATAATGCTTTGCAATTAATGTCAGAAATTATTAAAACTAAATCTGATAAATTGGACAAGATAGAATTAAACTACCTAGGTTTTTACATAAGGAATGTGATTTTATTCATGAATATTGTTTAGTAATTTAGAAATAAAATTTATATATATAGCATTATTTTAAATTAGCTAATGAAAGTTCTCTTGATATTATGCAGGGAGATAAATATATGTTCACAGCCAGGGTTGCCAGGTCAAAATTTTGAAATTACGGGAGAAATTTAGTATTTTGGGAGGGAAATCAGAAAATTGCGGTAGAAATATAAAAATTGCTAAAAAGAATTATTTTCAGCCGGGATTTTGAATTGACTTAATTATCCGCCTATTATTTTTTATAATTGTGTTGTGATGATTTAATGAAACATATTGACGATTAAATTCAAACCCATTCATATAAAATATAATATTTGCTAAAATAACCAAAGGAATAATAAAAGAAATTTCAATAATGCTTTGTCTGTATTTTAATTATTTTTGCAAAGATTATATTTTATATGAATGGGTTTTAATTTAATCGTCAATATGTTTCATCAAATCATCACAACACAGTATATAAATACAAAGTCGGTAACTATTTTTCAAAATAAAATAACATCTTGATTTATGAAAATATATTAATTTATTTAAAAAAACCAAAGATATTTTTTAAATATAAAAGAATGTAAACAAGATAAAATTTTATAAAAAAACAAACGATTTTAATTTTACAATGTAAAAAATATATTTTAGGCAAATGTCCTGCAAAACGATCAATTGGAAATCTAATCTACCGTGTATGTGTGTGTAGGCGCTTAATTATCACGTTTAAATATATAATAAGGTAATATTGTACTCATTTCAATGATAATTATTTTATTTATTAAAGTTCAATCACATTATTATAATCAGTGCAGGGGGGTGTATAAACATCCATTGTAAAACAAAAATATTCTCCAAAAATAAGAAATAATACAGATGCAACTACAGTTGCGGCAATTGTAATCACTTATCTTGTAGTACAACATTCACAGAGCTACTTATCATTACAATATGGGTAGAATCGTTTCCCCATAATATTTAACGACTCCAAGATAAATGAAAACTTTACCTGTAGAACAAAAATGAGCAGAAATATCATCAATGTTTTAGAACCTGAATCCAGGAGGTCAATTCTTGACGATTTGAAATATGGGCATACATATGCGATTCTAACAGATGCATCTAAATATTAAAATATTTCCCTTGATCCTCCGCTATTTCAACAAAATTAAGGTTATTTCAATAAAACTATTAAATTTTTTCCCCTCAAATAGTGAAAATTCCAAAGACATAGCTAACCATATAATAGTAAATATAGCAGATTCGGGATTATCAATAAATTGCATGTCAGCTTTCTGATCTAATAATGCCTCAGTGAATTTGGGAAAAATCAGAGTGTATTTACAGAATTGAGTCAGCACAATGTTGGTTGCGATATGTTATAATACCCGCCATCGATAGAATTTTAAAATTTTATAAACCTTTAAAAAAATATTTCTTAAATAAAGATTATAAAAGATGTTTAACATTTTGAAATTTTTTCAATAATGAATGGCAGAGGTATATTTAGGAATGATTTCACATGTAGGAAATCTACTACATGATGTTAATGTGCAGTTGCAATCAGAAGAATTTTAACAAAGATTCACAAAATTACGCTGCAGATGTTTTCATCTTTACAGTTAAAATTGATAATAAATTTTATGGCGCCATTGCTAAAACTATATTAAAATGTTCAAATATTTTAAAAATACCGATAGACATTGATGTCTTGTTTGAGAAGATTGTAATGCTCTCTGTTTTCAATTTACAATGTAAAAAATATATTTATTTTATGCAAATATATAAATAAAATTTATAAAATATAAAAAAATATGGAAAATTAAATAGTTATAATGTTAATTCCATTCTTTTCTTTATTGTATGAAATATCAAGCATATTGATGTATGTTTATAGTTAATTTTTCACAATTAAAATCAATATTAATCACCAATAACTCTAAATTTATTATAATTTGCACCAAGCATTATAAAATAAATATGCCATTGTATATATTAAAATCTACATATTAGTTTTTGATTAAATTCAAATATAAGGCAGCAATTTCTTCTTTACTTTGCAATTTTTCAAGTCCAATATGATTTTCTGGGTTTCCATTAGTTAATCATCTCTTTTTAACATAGGCCTATTAAAATAACCAGCAACGTGTCGCGCATTTGGCTAAAATACTACTATGATCAGTGATTGATAAAAAGATACCTTATGAATAAAAACAAGATGAATTGCTGGTAGTATGAAAGCTGGAGCCACAAAAAATGTGGCGTACAAGACAAAACTTTTTTTTTTTTATTTATGGAAATTTATTCTGATATAATTAACGTTAGATTTATAAAGCATTTTCTCAAAAGGTGACGAATTTAATACATAAATATTAAATATATATATAAATTTATATAATATTATCCAATATCAATCAAATAATGTTTTAAATGTAGATTAGTAAATTATATATTTAATTATAAATAATCTCATTATCTCTCTCTAAACAATAAGTTTTAATTTTATATAATAGTGTTTCATTTCAATTTAATCATAATTTAAATTTTATTATATGATATATAATTGCTTTTCTCATCGCCAATTCTGTGATTAGGGGGTATCAGTCATTGAGAATATGAAGCTGAGGTAATTGGATTTTATTATATTGAGGGCTAATCTTTGGCGTAGGTAGTAACCCTCGTTGGGATCTTCGGTCCTAGTAGAGATCCGTTTCCCCAGTTCTTTAAAGAAGGCAAGAGCGTGAGAGCCGAACGATGTTAGAGTCGTGGCGATTAGTGGTAGGAATGTGTAATTGGCCGGAAGCGATGGCGAATATTTAGCGAGTTTATTTATCTCGGCGTCTACTAGAGCATCTCTATTTATATTGGAAGGGGCAAGGGGATCGATGCATGAGAAATCCCAGGTTAGGAATTCCCCCCTCTTCCAAGGGATCATGGTAGAGCCATCGGGACGCTTACCATCAGAATTGAAGAGTCCAGTAGGTTCACCGGCAGATTTTAGGGCCCTGGCAATAGTATCATTGCATTTTGAATGTCTAATGAATCTGCCTCTACATCGCTTGCAGTGTAAAGAGTGACGGCCTTTGGAGTTGACCGGCGTTTGACAAAGGATGCAGTGATAGGGTATTACCATATCGCAATTAAGTCTTAGACCGATGGCGTGACGTAGCTCATCATTGCTTAGGAGCTGGTCAAGGTTTCGCGATGGAAAAGCTTCGAGAAATTCATACCCGCTGTCTGCGGAAATGGAGAAGAGTAGAGAAACAGAGGCCAATTTATATATATAAAAATCTGGGTAATATGGACCGGGCGGGGTAGGATTCTTTCAAAAGATAGGGTTTTGATTAAGTTCATGTTATCAAAATTTCAGTTAGAGTTTAAAATTCCTGAACCTTAATTCGAGTCCAGAACCCTAATTATCAAATATTATTATTTTTTACCTCCCCCCCCCGGTCGTAGTCTTACACCATATATTTGTTGCTAATTAAAATTATTTCTGACCACCGTAGTAATAGCTTCGCCCATTGAGAAGTAGCGCTTGGCTTGCTACCTATTCAATAGATCTAATTAGCTATCGATTGATACATCTAATAACCATATATTTATATACTTTAATAAGGTTCAGAAAAAACAATTTAAAATATATTGGTCTGAATCCCGAGTCTGGGCTCATAGCAGGTTTAGTCAATTTTTAGACTCAAGCTCCGGATCTGGGTTTTACACAGTCAGCCAAATAACAATTTTAATATAAGTAATCGAGTTTCATAAAATTAAGTTAACCGATTGAGTTCACGACTCAAGTTCAGAACTCAAATTGTAAAAACAAGTCGACAGTTTCGAGTCGATTTTTTGACTAAAAACACGCCTTGAGTCGTGGTTAAGCCGACTCAGTTTAGTCTTTTAGCAACACTATAAATATCAATTTTAGATATTATAATTTTTTAATTTCTTTATTTTCTTTTACAAGTCATAAGAGATATTTTTAAAATATCATTGTCCTTATTTGACCATCTGTCTAAATTTTCTTATAGCGGCCGGTTCATTTAAGTTTTTCGAGTTGGTTAGACCTCTTGATTTTAGTCCTATGAAAAAAATTTTTTTTTATATATCTATATTATTTAAACAAAAGTAATTTCAAAATTATAAAAATATAGGACTCGGAAGAATTGCCTTATAAAATTAAATTAATTTTACATGCCGAATAAAAAATTAAAACTCTTATATACAAATTGTTACATATGTATTATTATTACTTGTATTTAAAGAATCAATATATATTACTTTTAAATTGTTAATATGAATTTGCAGCTATGTTTTATAACTGTAATTGATTTACATTTTATAAAAAAAGATATATTTTTGATTATATATAAAGCTGTGGCATCACTAGGGGAGGGCGCGCAGGGGCTCGAGCCCCTTGAAAATTTAAATAGCCCCCGAAACAATTA